TTAATAATATAATAAATGGTCAGGCTGTATACATAGTTTTTATTAATATCCAATATTTTAACTAGAAAAATAAACATCAATATTTCAACAGTGTAAGTTAATTCAATAACAGAATACAATTTTATAGTGTACTACTCCTGAGTTATATTTCTCCAACTCAGGCTGTGCTTTTGTAATTTTGAATATATATAGTTCTTCTAACCTCTCATATCACAAGGATTAGTATAAATTAAAGGTAAACCACCTCTTAGGATGATCAAAAAATTGAAATTATTAAACTTGGTTAAAATGAGAAGACTTACCTGGTGTCATAAGTATATAATCTAATAAAACTAAGTAATATTTCTTAAACTAAGTACTTTTGAAACATGCTCAGAAATGTTTTTGAATAATTATTTAGTTTAATAGATATATTGTGTTATATAGAGATTCTATTCTTTAGTCATGGCACCTGGTAATTCTAACTGATGAATATATACACTTGTGACCAAGTTCAAGATTTTAAATTTTATGTCCATTCTAAGAGGTAGTATTCTTTAAGATTTAAGCTGAGGCAGGTTTTGGACTGTGGGTGTGTTGTAACTGTGATAAATTTCTCCCTGTTTTTCTAATGGTCACTTCATTACTCAACATTTTGATTTTGTCTCTAGGGTCAACAGACGACAGCCGGGGACAGTTACATTCTTCTCGTAAAACTAACGCCTGAAAAATATAACAGACAACAATTCTGACAACTACAAGATAAGATAACCTTTTTCAGGGATTCAGCTTGTCCCACCTGTATCACCTGTATCACTGACAATGGGACACCGGGTATAAAATTCGGAAGGTATTATCTCGACTAACTATCTTATGTCAGGGCAATCAAATACAGAATCATTGGTTAGCTTTGTTTGAAATATCTCAGTACAACCTGGCCCTTCAGTAAGCAACCATTTTTAAGCATTCCCTCGCCTGCTTGTTTTATTGTAACATGGTTATCTTCTGAACTGATTATGTGTATAAACAATTTAGAAACTATCTTTGCAATCCCTTCAAAACAAATTAGATACAGTGAAACCCGAGATTCCGGTTTGGAGACTAATATACTCACCT